CCCTAAGGGTTTAGGGTTCAGGGTCCAGGATTTAGGGTTTAGGACTTAGGGGTTTAGGATTTAGGGTTTAGGATTTAGGGTTTAGGGTTTGGGATTTAGGGTTTAGGGTTTAGGGTTTAGGGTTAAGGTGCAAACTGCAGGCACTGACAACATTCCTGCATTCGCGCACTCGCACACCGCCCGCTCTCTCTGGCACATGCGCCTGAGCGTCTTATAGGTCGGCGAGAGGTGCACTATAAGCTCTGTCTGGGATAGAGGACTACGGAGATGGTTCAATTCTACAAGCATACAGAACCCCAGGCCTGTCTGCACGGAGTTCGGTGGCAGGTGTTAGATTGACGGGCATCATTGTGATTTGAGTAATTAGTTCGGCGGTCCAACATCTCCGAAGGCAACTATCCCGACAACGATTGTGTCTGTAGGTAACGGGGTACAGAGTGTGTAAGGGTCAATGGATGTTGGGAGGGAGAGGAATGAGGGGGATACTGGCCCCATGGCCCTCGTCCCCAAGCTCTGACCCACGAACCTTCAACCCTATGATGATACAAACCCTGATTGACAAATCAAAAATTCTGAACCATAAACCGGACCTGAACCCAAACCCTACTTAGGATATCAGTACCTGACAGAATGTTTCGTGATTGGGTTCTTGCCAAGGTATCTCAACTCGCGCTTCGACACTGTGCGCACCATCCGGCCTGCAGCGTCGAGGTGCTTTTCAGTAGAAACGCAAGACACACAAGCAGGTTTCAGGCGTTCAGGGTTGAGGGTCTGCAGGATTTGTGGTTGAGGGCTTGAGGTGGAGTCCGGACAACTTTGACAGTAAGATCCTTGTTGTTTTGCAACAGCGTCGAAGGTTCAGCATTTGTGGAGTTTAGGGCACAACTGGAGCCATCAATCAGCATTCGTGCCAGCCGGAGCAACAGATGGTCGTAGTAGTAGTAGTAGCGTAGTAGTAGTAGTAGTAGTAGTAGTAGTAGTAGTAGTAGTGGTAGTAGTAGTAGTAGTAGTAGTAGTAGTAGTAGTAGTACAATAGTAGGAGTAGCAGCAGCAGTAGCAGTAGCAGTAGCAGTAGCAGTAGCAGTAGCAGTAGCAGTAGCAGTAGCAGTAGCAGTAGCAGTAGTAGTTGTTGTGGTAGTTGTGGTCGTGGAAGTGCTAGGTGGTAGTGGTTGTGGTGTTTGCGGTATGTGGGTTACTGAAGGTCCAGGGTGCAGGGTACAGGGTTCCCCTCGGCCCCTAAACTTAGATCCTGAGTCCCCAAGCTCTAAAACTGTCACCCCTAAAGCACCAAACACTTGTGAGTCCAAAGCCGAAACCCATGCATTAGAACCTTAAGCCCCTGAACCGCGAAGTGCAGCCGTGGGCCCTACAGAGCCCGAAACTCCAATCTCAACCCATCGGAGGTCACAATTTCCCTAAACCCTAAACCCTACGTCACATTTTGGTGAGATGTTCCTGTTCCACATCTGCAGTCCCTAAACACTAAACCCTAAACCGTAGGTGAGATGTTCATCTGCAGTCCCTAAACCCTAAACACTAAACCGTAGGTCACAGTTTGGTGAGATGTTCCACATCTGCAGTGGCTTCATCGGCCGGCAGAGTATCGCCTCGGAGGCAGCGCCTTTTTTTCTTTTGTTTCCGAGGGCTGTCGCCTGTTTTTGAAGAGGGGTCGATATCTATAGACTAGGGGCTTTGGGTCATATCTTCGTATTGCTATACTAAGTATAAGGAGCCGGCTTCAGGGGTGTCAGCGGTGAGGGGCGTGTGACTCCGGAGTTCTTGTAATGAAGGATGAGGCTTTCGGGCTTAGGGTATTTAGGGTTGAAAACTTTGGGTTGAGGATTGGGTATACCGGTATAGTATCTCTGAACTAGCATGAAACTCCGAAAACTCACCCTTCAAACAGGACACTCAGCATCGGACCAGTGTATGTAGGCTCTCTGTTCGACGAGGGGAGAAGACACTCGATGAAAGCATAATCTAGGGGTTTGAACAAGCTCTTATAGTCCCTACATGCTTATCATACTAGGGTCTCGCCCAATACCCTAAACCCTAAACCCTAGACCCCTAAACCCCTAAACCCCTAAACCCTCAACCCTAAACCCTCAACCCTAAACCCAATACTATATTCTGACTACTAAGGCCGGTATATGAAAGCCAGCTGCGAGGTACAAGTGGAAGGCAACGACCTCTCCAAGTACGAAGGTGTTGAGGACCTGCCGTTGGGAAAGGGTTTTGCAGTTCGAGGACGTGACAATCAAAAACGTGCTTAGGGCTTTTAGGGTTTAGGGTTTAGGGTTTAGGGTTTAGGGTTTAGGGCTTAGGGTTTAGGGCTTTTAGGGTTAGGGTTTCGGGGCCGAGTCGCTCAGAAGCCTTTGGAGGAGTGGCAGGGCGAGCTGCAGTGGCTGAGGGGGCAAGGCCTCCTGGATGAAACCGACTACATCCCTCCGAAGGAGGAAGCTCTGAAGGATCCCAAGACCTGAGAGGGCTCCTGTGGCTCATAATGTAGACACCGTGTCTTCAAGGGCACGTAGATATCAGGATCCCCCCATGGTAATCCTTATATTTGTATAATCAGGAACCCTACAACCCTAAGCCCCGTTCCACTTTACCTTCCATGCCTCGCAAACTATGGCGCGCGGCCGTCGCCAAGTGTGATGGATCCTTTCAAGAGGCCCCAGATCCTCTGCAGCAAGGAGAAAAAGGTTGGAGAGCCGTGATCTTGTGATTGAGGGCTTTGGAGGTTAGTGGGAGGGGTACTCTCTACACCAGCAACTCGTATGACTTGGGCCTGTTGTAGGGACTGGATTTAACGAGTTGTTGTCGGTTGAACTTCAGCGCGATGGTCTGGTTTTTCTGAACTAACCCTAAACCCTAAACCCTAAACCCTAAACCCTAAACCCTAAACCCTAAACCCTAAACCCTTCACCCTACCCTAGATGCCTAACGTCCTGAATCTCGAAGCCCAAAGTGCCCTTAGCCGGAAAGCTGGACCCAGCAAGGCTTGGCCTTCGGCGTTTTCTGTGCTAAATTTGGGCTTGGGCTGTGTTCTCTCGGTCGATTTATGGCACATTTGTGGTGATGTCGGGCTTGTAGACTGTAGGGCTTAAGTTTAGTAAGGAGTTTTGGTTCGGACAGTCCAGGCTTTACCCGACCGATCGCACGCCATTTGGGGTCGACCTCCCTTTGGGGAAATTACGCTCCGGGCACGTGGGTTGTGTCATGCGTAAGTTGGGAAAGCACGTTTCCACTGCCTGTCAGGTCAAGGTGTAGGAAGGTTAAGGCTTGAGGTTCAGAGTGTGGGCTTAGGTGTTTAGGGCTAATAGGGAGTAGAGTCGAGATTAAAGAGTTTGGGGTTTAGGCTGTAAGGCTGAGGGCTAGACTACAGAATGTCCGGGGTTCAGGGTGTAGGGCTTAAACACCTTAACTGTGTCATAGTTGGGTAACCTTTTACATTTTTAATGGTACTTAGACCCAATAAGGAATATAAATTTAAATTTTTAATACTACCCCAACCATGAACTAGTTAACTTTACAGTCGTGTGGCTCATGAGGCCTTAGCGGTCCCTTAGACCTTTGGAACTGTCCAGGAACGGTAGCAAGTGGTTGGGTGTCTTGATGATGATACAAGCAATAAGCCCTAAGCATATCGACGGTTGGGCATGCATCATGATCTCGGTTCCGGTAGAGGAGACGGGTGTTTGTTTGTGTGAACGGGCCCTGCAAAGCGCTGTGACAAGTGACATGTCAGTGTCTCCGAAACTGCCAGAAGCTGTTCGTTGCGAGCCACAGTCCCAAGCCTTCAGCCCGAACTCACATAGCCCGAGACGAAGTGCTTGAAACCGCCGCAGTCATCTTCCTCTCGAAGCCTCGTCGCTTGGCGCTGCCTCAGTACCGCACAAGCCCCTTCGATGCTATGACTTGCCGTTAAATACAGCCCCGTCTTGTGGTTACCCTTTTTGGAGCATGTTTCTCATTACATGTTCGGAGGTTTGGTTTTTGAGCTTGGCAGTTTAGAGTCTTTGGGAGGGGTGCGTGTGTGTGTGTGTGTGTCGGGTTTGTGGTTTGCGTCTCGGGAACGGACTTGAGGATGGTGCTAGGGACATTTTTGCATTTTGGGTTCGTCAACAGCTTATTCGCCGTACCCACATATGTATGCTAGCATGCATGTACTTGCTTCTCTTATGCAGAAGCATAGACTATTCGTTGTGTTATGTGCTTCTGTTCTTATATATCCATACCCTAAACATATTTATGTCTGCATATTATGGCTCTCGTTATGTATGTACGTATGTATGGATGGATGGGTATGCACCCACAAAGGCTGTTGCAGGCCCACGTAAGTTAGGGCCTGGAGGCTGAGGGCTTAGGATGAAGAGTTGATTGATATTCTGTTTTAAAGGAAACTACAGGTGGGGAGTTTAGGGTGGATAGGGCTTCTATAAGGCTTCTATAAGCCTTTCATAAGGCTCCTATAACGGTAACTACCCTAAACCCTAAACCCTAGACCTTCTAAAAGGCTCCTGAAACGGTAACTACCCACCTGAAAACGTCCTAGACTGTTGCAGATGTCGGACTCGGCTCTGGTAGCTTTCACCAAAAACGACGTTGCTTGAATCGAATGACACACATCTGAGTTAGGGTTTAGGGTTTAGGGTTTAAGGTCTGGGCTTATAGGGTTTACAGACTTTAGGATAAGGGTTTGTAAGTTGCGGCTTGTCGAGTAGTGGCTTGTTCTGAAGTAATGTTGGACTGAGTAGCTACCTGTACTATTTTGGGGGTTCTTCTTTGTAGTTATTATAGTATAATTGGCTCCAAAACCCTGTTCTAATTATTCATGCCCCTGTATTAAGCATCCTAAGGCCTACTCAAAGCAAGCACTCATCCCGAAGCTCTAAACAGGGGCTATTCCTGCATATCGGATTTGAAGAACTACGTATCGTATTCCCGCCTTACCTGTAGTCTCCATTGTAGTTCCTTCTTGGGGTTTACCTTTTAGGATCCGTAATATAGAAATGGGTAAACCGAAAAAAGGAACTACAATGGAGACTCTAGATTTTCTACTGTACTCCAAGGCACCAGTCTTAGTCCCGAACCCCTATAGGCATACTATACACTGGCCGTGCAAAGCCATATCAAAGTTCTCTGAGACCCTAAACCCTGAACCCTAAATCCTAAAATGGGAGTCTAAATTCCTAAACCCCAAGAAGCATAACCAAAACTCTTGCACGCCTCAGCCGCGCCCTCTGCAAATCTCTTTACAACCTCATAAAACTCGTACAGAAACTCCACGATAAGGAATGGAACTGCTATGAAGCCCCTAGAATGCGTGCTAAAGCAGTCAAGCACCATAAAACCTTCCTGAGCCCTAAAGCAGCCCCAAGCCCCCCCACCCATAAGCCCTCCCCAACCCATAGGCCCTAAGCCCCCCAACCGTAAGCCCCCCAAGCCCCCCAGCCCTAAACCCTAAACCCTAAACCCTAAGCCCTAAAGATCGTCTCCGAGGCATGACCCGAAGTTCTGGACGTGGGCTGGCCGTGGTCGCCCTCGCGGTGGCAGCCTTGCGGTGGGGGAGCCCTGTGGGTTCGAAAGCAGTCCGGGGGGTTTAGGGTCTGGGGTTTTAGGGTTCAGGGGGGGTTCTTCGGGGATTCCTTAGAGTTCTTGAAGATTTAGACGAGGTTTCAGCGCCTTGTTTTTTGAGTTTAGGGTCGCTAGCTGGTGTCGGAAGAGGAGGTCTCAGGGTTTACGGATAAGGCTTTCGTGAGGGGTGGGGGTTCCTTAACCTTTGACCATAGGGTTTAGGTTTAGGGCCTAGGGCTTATAGAGGCTTAGAGGTTGGAGGCTCGCCACTCGTAGGAGAAGGATCCCCAAAATCAGATCCGGCTCGCACCCTCTCCTCCCCCACCTTCGAGGGAACTTTGTGCTGGCGTCAGGTGGGTAGTTCTCTAAATCAGGGCCAGGGCCCCTATTTTAGGTCCCCAATATAGTACGGCACCCCTATCAAAAGGACCCCAAAGCGGACCCCAAGTTAGACAACTGCCCAGGTTCTGGACTCCAACCATCGAAGAGCCATCCTTCGTGAACGGCTTGGCGGCAGCGTAGTGCTCAGAATCGCAGGGGGCAGTTGAGAAGCTGCAAACTAATGAAATCTCCGAGCTTCAATCTCTGTTTAGCGTTAAGAAACACACACACCGTTATACCCTCAAAGGAATGAAAATTTAAAGGATCTTGGGCCCAGAGGCCCTAACATATGAGGCTTTCGGGCGATTTTGATGCTTAGGGATATCTATCTATCGATCTATCTACATACCTGCCTGCCCACCCACCTGCCTACCTATGTATCTACCTACCCATCTATCTGTCTGTCTATCTATCTATCTATCTATCGATCTATCTATCTATCTATCTAGCTAGCTATCTATCTATCTATTTATCTATCTATCTATCTCTATCTATCTATATCTA